AGATCCTTCGGCATCTCCGGCCTGGAATTCCTTTGAGCCGCCCGGCAATTGCGTCGTCATCTTCCCAATTCCCCTACTCTGCAGCTTCTTCTATCTGCTATCTGCGCTCTTCGCTTTGGCTTTCAAGTTTAATTAATTGCGACACGGATTCAGCGTGGGCGTGTCCCGATCGCAGAAGGCTTTCTTCTCCTTGTTCGAAAAGAGCTTCTAATGAGGGTTAATTGAAAGCGGCAAACTTCTGTGAAGAGTACCCCGTCAAGATTTTGGGTTTCCTCTTGCACCCGATACCTTTTTTTTGAGCTTAGTCAACTGTCTTCAATTAGAAATGAGTCGGCCCCATAAGTTTGTGGTACATTAGAGGTGGGTTCGTGAGCGAGTTATCTCGACTGCTTCAGTTTAAGATACATCAATTTATGCAAACCTACCTGGCAGCTTGTTTTACGAACAATTAAAGCGCTTTTAAACACTCTTTTAAACACTACGGGAAATCAATATAATATAATTGCTAATAATTTAGAATAGGTGCAATTGCCATACAGGTATTCCTTCAACGATATTAAATGTATGGTATTAAAGTTGCAGTAATAATAGCTGGCTAAAAACCTCAATTTACTAGTACTGGTACCTACAAATCATTATTGAAATATTTTTATTTATTTGCATAAGCAATTTTTACACCCTAATTCCCGACTACATGTTAACCCCATGCATGTCAACTAAATTGGCCTTCTCATATCAAGTGCTTGAAAGTTTCGCTCAAGTTTTCCTTTGTTTTGGTTGACAGTTGATCAAAATACATTTTAATAAACGGCAGATGTGTAACTCAAGCCCACAAGTACAAGCCCGGACCCTGCCTAAATATATTATAAGCCCGAGTTCCGGATAGGGCAACCCCCTATCCCCGTCAGTCTTTGTGACCTGACATTTATTTACCCTTGCGGTGGCTTTGTTTTCCCCGGCTTTCGTTCCTCCTCCTGCGCTTCATTGTTGTTGTTATGCCAAGGTGGCATAATGTGTTAATTGCTTTGCCCACACCCACCCCCTAACACCCTCCGCCCACGCGAACGGCACTTGAAGGCAGCTGTCGCTTGAGTCCGATGCATATTTCATTTGCCATTTAATTATATCAACGGGAATGCTTGAAAAAGTAAAATGTTCATTAACTGCTCTGGCCACACTGGTTGAACGGACGCAAATCAGGACAAGTGCCTAATAAACGGTCCTAAAAGAGCCGGCCACTCCCCAAAAGTCCCCGTTGAGATTGAGGTCCTGCAGGGACCTCCCCATGACAATAAGTTAAATAAGTTTGAAAGCTTTTCGCCCCCATTTCCAAGACCCAGTGGGACCAGCCTACTTAGGCATTCAATGGCTTTATTCATTCGATTTGATGACCCGCACAGGACATTCGAGTTCCCGATGATGGCGATGAACGAGCTTGTTTGGCAGCCGGGCCAGCGATCGTTTTCATTATTAGATTTGTATAGGATTTCATGGGGCCGGGGGCACGGAGTGGGTCTAAACAAATGAACCTAATATGCATTATTATTATTGCATGTGAAAACGAAAGCGTTGTGGGAGGCGGGGAGGGTAGTTGTCGATAAAACGGTCATGCAAGCAAACGAATGCCAAAGTTGAAGTAAATATTCAATAAAAAATAATCGAAGCAGAAACCAGAACGAAGCGAGCACACAGCGAAATGAGCATATAAATGTGGAAATGTCGAGGAGGGAAATCCGAATTCAAGCTCCGGCTCAAATCCGAAGGCGAGGGCAAAGACGCAGGCCAAGTGGAATGCAATAAAAATCTATTTTATTTGTTAGTGAAATGACATTTTTATTTGTTTGCTGTTTATGCACATCCACTCTCGCACACTCACAATCACGGATATAAAGAATGCCCCGGGCTGTGTGTGTCACGTCACACATGTCGTATGAGCAATATATGCAGATAAATAAACTATTACACAGGATTATTATTTGCTTTGGCGCAGGATATTTTGACAGGTTTACGATATTTAATCATTTGACTATGCAAAATAATTGACACAAACTTTTGCCTCCGTCTTTTATCTTTGTTTATTTTTGCTGCTAATAAACCCAATAAAAATGGTCGTTTCACATGGAAATAGTCATGTTTATTTGCCTAACTAAACCAAGACATGCAGGAACTCTCCTCCACACAATACTCACAATATCTTTTTGCCATCCAACCCCCATCACGATTCGATTTTCTGCGCTCGGCCATGGCAAATTAAGTTTTAATTAAACTCTTTTGGCCCCCGGTTTAATGCGGCGTGTGATTGAGTCGACTGCCGGCTTTAACCCTTGACTGAGCGCCAGACAACCCTCCCGGAGGAGGAAAAAAACCACACTCAGCCCTGTCAGCCAGTAATCCAAACAAATGTAATTGTCATCTCCCAGGACATATGTTGCGGCTCTCAGGGTCTCGGTGTTTTAGGGGAAGAAGCGATACGAAGCCACGGCAAGTGTTAATGATCGTCTAGCTATGCTTTTTTGCGCGTTAATCTGCCGTTTAATTTGCTGGCTTAACGCGTTTTGTTTTGGTTACCATCGCCGATAATACCCGAGCTTAGACTGCTCAAACCCTTGTTTAATGGCTGTTGCCCTTACCCTGTTTTAGTTGTCTTTTGGGCCGGGACAAACCACAAAATGACACAATTTCAATTGGACTTGCATAGTTCGGGCCCCTGTCTGTCAACGAATATTGCCATTTAAACAACAATCAAACAAGCCACAGAGAAATTCATTCCATTGCCATACACAAAATGCAAAATCCAATCAAACTTTTTAAACAAACATTTAACAAATCTATTACAATGCAATGACAGCAACCAAAAACGAAACCGACGAAAAGTGGGCGACCAAAGCAAAACCCTGAAATGAACTCATCTAAACGAGAAATTCTATTTGGTGGATGGCCGACTGGGTTTGCAAAGAAACAACTCAGTCAACTTTGGTTACATTTTCTTTTCATTTTTTTTACCAGCCTATGAGTGCGGGTGAGTGTGTGCGAGCAAACTTAATCAAAACAAATTTCCACCTTCAACGAGTTGCACACCAAGCAATTTCCCAGGCCCAGTCAAAGAGGAAAAAAAAAAAAAAATAGGAAGCAAAGGAGTAAAAACGATAACTAGAACTTCATGCAAACTAACCGCAAATACGATTACAAACACACAGGACGGAGGACGAAGGACGAAGGGCAGGGGCGGTGCACCCCACTAAATCGAAAAAACCAGTCAAAGGGTTGGAGAGCTCGTTTCGGTTCCTGCTGGCATAATTTGAATTCGTGTCAATTTGACAAAGTGACACATGAGGGCCAGGCCCAGAAGGAGAAATTTTTATGCGATTTCGCTTCATTACTTTTGTATTCCGTTTGTGCGGCCGGGCTATAGATACACCTATAAATACGTACGGCATTTTCGGTATTTGTTTATTTATTTATGTGCTGTGTTGTGTTGGAGACGCCGACGACAGTGTCGCCAACTCTGGCTCTGTGGGCACGATAATGTTTAGTCAATAAAAATGATTTGTCGGCTGAGGAAACGAAACGAAATCGTGAAATTTGATATGTCCTTTGCATTTACATTTACCCGGGGGGTTCGGTGGTTCCCGTCTCCGTTTTTTACCCCACCCCCCACTTGCGGTTGCAAAACTATGCCAATCGGTTGGTCCACTCTAGAAGTTGCAGCAGCCTCAAGACAGAGTCCTTTTTCTGCTAACACCCAACTACACAGAAAAATACTACTAAAGATTGTAAGATTAATCGTAGGCTTAAATAAATATTGAAAAAAATATAAAGTAAACTAAAAAGCTGAATAAGTAAATAATAACAATAAGAATCTCGTATGGGTTATTTACTTAACCCAATTGAGTTCTTATAATTCCCAAGTTGTTGTTTGTGAGATGCACTGTAGAGCGCATTCATTGAAATATTTCATAATTCAAAAGACCTTTTTAAATATATTCAAAATACTAATTTAGCCTGGATCAACATATAAAATCAAAATTTATTACCATACTTGACTCATTTTTTTTTGTGTAACACCCACGGTCGCCCATCGATAGTTCCTGCCGCTGCTTAAGCGTATTTTATGCTACACCGCTGTGAATGGAATTTACGAGGCGCCCTGCCCGTTCACGTCACAATTTGCCACCCGAAACGAATGGCTGCCAGACATGGCATCCCGCCATATCGCCACATTTCCACATTGCCACTGCTTCAATGTCTCCGAGCATAAAAGCGCATAGTCGCATAAAATGCATAATTCTCTCCGAGGAAGAAAAGGAAACTCATTGAATGGGCCACAGACCAACTTGAGAACTCTTTCGGCGTTGTCATTTCGCTATTGAGACATAAATTGTTCCATGCACTCGGAGGCAAGTTATGCGCAAAGTTTGACAATTATTATTGATCTTAAGGGAGAATCGGCTGGGGAATGAAAATCATAAATGAATGATTGAGGGAGTTATGGTAAAATAAAGGTATTTAATTCGTTTTGGGCTTTCCCCAATAAAGGGGAATCAACCAAACAAAATTATTTTCAAGAACTCGTATCTTTCTAGCTTATAATGTATTTAAATGCTTGAAAGCTAACTAGTTGTATATAAGGTGAAAAATCCATTAAGCTTAGATGGAAATTTTAGTTGCTCAATGAATAAGTCAATCAAAAAATGCAAATATCCAACTCCCCTTTCATTAAGGATCCTCCGGCCATAAATTCCTGCCACCCAGTGGAAATATCTATGCATATCTAGCACCTTTCCTTCACAAGAGCTTTAGATTGAAGGGACGGTAAACAGAGGGTACAACTTAATTTCGTTAAAATAAATAGCAAACGGAAATTATTTAATTTCCGGAGCCTGGCTGGCGGTTACTCCAGCTGCAGACACGTTGATTGCACAATTAGCTGGGGTACGGGTGTAAATCACTCCCAGATACCAGACAAAACAGGAGATACAGCGGGACTGGAGATGACTCACCTGGACGCGGACCTCGGGCAGGTTCACCTTCATGGCCAGCTCCTCGCGGGAATAGACATCGGGGTAGTGCGACTTCTCGAAGGCCCGCTCAAGTTCATGCAGCTGGTAGGTGGTGAAGGTGGTCCGGTTGCGCCGGTGTTTCTTCTTGGCGCAGTTATCGTCTTGGCCTGCCGATTATAACACGGAAAACATTCGATATTGGGTCAGTAAAATAGTGTTTCGATCATTTCATTGTCCCTAAAAAACTAGTGATAAATAACATCATTATTAATAACATATGAATGCTCAAAAAACCAAAAAACACGTTTTTTAATTACTTAATAACTGTTTTTGAACATATAAAGAGAAGGATATGGAAATACCGTATAATTAAGATCGCGTCATTTCAATACTTAATACGCAATTAATATTGGAAAGTATCAAGGTGCTTATTGATTTTATTAGCAGCGGTAAATTTATGTTAATTTCGGTTACAATCATATAAAAGTAATGGTTGCTGATAGATCTCTACTTTAAAGGCATTTCTATTTAAATGTCAATTTAAAGGTGGCAGGTTAAGTCTCTTTATACTAAGTTTAAGCTGGGAAAAGCAAAATACTCTTCAGGGGAAGATTCTCATTAATACTCCCAACCTATTGCATTGGGGATATTTTAAAATTTGTAGAGCTAATTATGCTGTTCAAGGATCTGTACCCACCCTCGTCGTCGCTCCCGGAAGTGATCTTCTCGCCCTGCTCGCTGCTGTTGGTCTGGTTGAGGTCCTCGCTGGAGGCGCAGCTGCCGTTGACCAGACTGTCGCTGTCCGCATTTAACCGCTCGCCGTGATCGCCGGAGTTGTTGCTGTTGCCGCTGGGATTTCCGTTGCCGTTGTTGCGAAAGTCATGCTGAAAGCCCTGCTGCTGTTGTTGCAGTTGCTGCTGCTGCTGCTGGTGATGCGACTGCTGCTGCTGCTGTTGCTGCTGCTGATGATGCACCTCCTCCAGGCTGCGAGCGCGAATGCCGTAATTGCCCCCCATTTGGCCATTGGCCAATTTCGGCTCATTATCATCACAGAAGACGCCGGCGGACTTGCGCTTGGCGGCCAGCGGACCACGTGGCGCCGGAGTGGGCGGCGAGGTCACATCGAGCTGCAGCTTTGCCGCGTCATCGTCGTCCTCCTCCATGTCGCTGGCGGAGGACATTGAACGCTCGTCGTAGCCAATCTGCGACTGGGCGAGCGGCGCCGTCTGGGAGTCCAAGAAGTAGGCACCTGGCGGCGGCGGAGGAGGCCCCGCTCCAGTGGGCGATGACTTGGCGTATTTGCCATGCTGGTTCTGCTGGCTCTGCTGCTGCTGCTCCTGCGCCTGAGCGGCCAAGGCGGCCAAGTGCTGCTGGTGGCTGCCGAAGGAACTGGGTGGCAGCGGGGTCGGGGGAGCGGAGCCAGAGGCTCCGGGCTGCAATTGATTGGCCTCGACCATCTGGTGCATCGAGTTGAGGTAATTGCCCGCCGCCTCCTCCTGGTGCCCGTAGCCGTGTCCATGTCCCTGGCCGAATCCAAAGGCATTGTGGTAGCCGAAGGTGGCATGTCCATGGTGCGGGGTATGGCTGGGGTGCGTCGGGTGTCCCGGCTGCCCGGGCCCCATCTGCTGTCCATGGTGCAGGGTCGTCGCATTCGGGACCTGGGCCTGCTGACCCCCGGCGGAGTTGGGGGGCCGTAGGGCAAGCCTCCTCCGTTCTTCGCGTGCTGCTGCAGCATACTGGCCATGTGGTTGTCCATGCTGCGCAGCTGCGTCAGGGTCATTCCACAGCGCAGATCCGTGGCGTCTTCGTCGCCCAAGGAGGGGTCAATGGCGCCTGGAATGACAGCAAAGGTTAAAAGGAAGTGAGAGAGTATAAAGGATGAACGGTGTAGAAAAGGGGTAAGATTTCTAAGAATGTTCGGTAGGTTGGAGCAGCGAAAATTATACAGATTAAGAAGTTGGGTGGAAATAAATAAAGCTAATATCTTGGTTCAATTGCGTTCATTGTATTCAATCTTCAATAATTCACCTAGACGACGGAGGCAGTTTCACACGAAAAATCCCAATTTATACATTTAAGGTTTAATAAGCGATTTCGAGTTTTATTACTTTGAAGGTGTCAATTTATAATACAAACGTAAATGTATTAAAGATAAATATTACTACATACCAAACGTTTATGATTCACATTTTATTAATCAATATTCATATCATCATGTCAAATGTTCAGAATTGATACTGAAAAAAATTTTAATAAATCGTTTGCTACTTTTGCCGACAGACAAGCATTGAAAATAATTTTACAAATTTATAATTTAATATAATGTTATTAATATTTACTTCCAAGGTTCATTTTGAATTGAATAAAATAAATTCCAGTTTGGGGTGCAGCTTAGACTTGCAAAGGCTTGAACTATTATATCAATTAACCCGGGCTATATAAGTGCAGATACTATTATTAAGTGTGTAATTAATAGATCACGAACAATTGTTTATAGAACGTAAAGAGGTTGAGTTTTCCCCGTTCTCCCACGCATTCTGCCACCTGATTCGATTTTAATTAGTGTGCTCAATGAGGCGGGAAGAGAAGTCATAAGGCTGTTTGCCAACTCGCTGGCTAAAAGCCGCGCAGCCCGTCTAATAACAACGTGTTATTTAATTTGGTGGTTGACGGGGGCCAATGGAAGCCTTCTACTTGCAGCGGGTCAAACCTGTTAACCACCCACCCACTAATAAACGGCTTTCAATTAGACGCCTGGTATTTACAATGTGAGGCAATAAAAATTCTGGGAAACCAGAGTCGGAACTCGGAGGATCGCGGGGGCGATGGGGGAGTTCCAGATGAGGCGGTATCGGTCCCTAATGGGCGTTCCAACTAGCGCTTGTGCATATCACGTGACATGCAAGGAAGTCATTAGTTTAGGTTTTAGGTCTTTAGGCGGCGTTGGAAGTTCTGGGCTGGATTTGTGTAACCGAATTCAATTTCTGTGTTAAATTGCCTTTTGGGGCAGGGCCGATTCGTTGAATCGAAACAAAACCAATTACCCAGTCAGACTGGGAAGTTGCTACTCGAGAATATCTGTAATTATTTGATAGTCTTTTGGGTAATTGCTTTTCGATGTAAGTCCGTTTGGAGCCCGTTTCGCTTAGTCGATTGTCTAATGTAATTATGCACCACATCGTTCCGATTCGGCTCAGTCCGATTAATTGGGTCAACATTTTGGCTAATTAACTTTAAACAGCAGCCAAACGAAGATTGTAAATGCCCCGAATTAACCTCTCCGAGCGTTTTCACCAATCAATCGAAATTTACACGCCCAGCGTGCGTTTTATTTTGAGCCACTGTGGTGCTAATGAAATTAACAACGAAATTCGTTTTGAAAGCCTCTGCAAATGAAGTAGCACAAAAGATGCCGGAATGGTTTTATCCGAATGTGAGCCACATGAGGCGAGAGACAGTAGCCGCACCACCCGACCCTCTTTCCCCTCTTTCCCCCTCAAATCCCTCGATCCACCTCAATCCACCAAAAACACACCGCTGAGTTGGCCCACACGGAGTGCGTGAGTTAATTGCGTGAGCAGCGAAAAATAAAAGGTTAAAACAAAAGTTTTTCTGCCTGTTTTGGGAGGGGCGGGGGGAAGTTTCTCACTCCTAAGCAATTGGCCAAAGTGTGAATGATGTGATAGATATATATCGTAGGGAATATGTGGCAGTAAATCACGAATTTATATGACAGAAATGACTTTTACAGAAATGGTAAGAGTCAGCGACGGATAGGCTTTTTTTCAAATTTCACTTTAAGTGAAGTTACTAATCAGTTTTCTATACTGCTAAATTAGTAGAATGGAACCAACTTTTAAAGTTTGTTAAACAATAACTTTTATAAATATTTACATATTTAATATACGAAAAAAACAGAATTTATAGATAAGCAAGGGCATAAAATATGATTAAAATATCTTTAAATATTGGTTTCGAGACCAGGCTTACAAGGTAAAGTTATAGTGTTTTAAAATTGCAGATTTGTTAGAGAGATATCTATCATCATAAGTAATTAATTTAATTACCCTAAAAGGTTATAATGGCACACATTTCTAGGAAGCAGAGATGATATTAAATAAAAAATAAATTCTACAACTTTAAAGCTTCTCAGCAGTTCCGAAAATAAACCAGATTCAAGTCTCCTAATGGTGAATGAACCGCCTTTAAAGCCACTTCCCATTCACTCAGGTTCGATGGCTTGTACAGACAAGTTGGGTATTCATTCAGTACTCAGCATAACAAACTGATCGACACATCAATTAAGAAATGATTTCCGTGCGCTCTCCATTAGCTTGGCAAATCAAGTTGGCGGCTAGAAATTTGTCGGTTGTTAAGGCAACAACATTTGATTTTGAATTTCAAGACGCGATTGTGAATGCTAAAAGGCTTAGATAGCTACTGAGAAAATTTCTCTTAGGAAGATGCTAGACTATGATTAGAATAGAGACTCATTTTGCTCTAATTTGGCTTGTGTTTCCGACGAATCCAGTTCGATGTGAGGGATAAATTGACGTTAATCGCGTCACTTCTGCTTCGCCCCTGCCACTGTCCCCTTGCCCAAGTCTAATCCTAATGATGATTTGACAGTTTCCCATTGTTGGCCCAATACTGGGCCATTAGGCGGCCTAATTGATATGTTATTAGCCATGCCGCGTTTCTAAAAGTCATGGCCAGAACAGGTAGGGGCCGAAAGGAAATGCACATTTCGACTGGTTTCTTGTTCGCCGGAAGATCTTTGCAGCCAGATGAGAGACGCGATATCGGATTCATATCAAAAAGCGAAACAAGCCATAAACAAAACTGTCAATCACAAGTGCTTGTTTTCGGGCCAGGGGTGTTGGGAGGAGTAGGGGCTATGAAAAGTGGTAGAAGCCACAAAAGCAGCTAATAAGACGACGCCGACGCACAGACACGCATTAAAATCATTAAGACGCCTTAATGCTCAATTTAATGCCGCGTCAACTGCTTAACAGATCTCGTGTAGATGGATCGTGAAGGGGATCACTTCAGTCTGTCTCTCCCCGTCTCTCTCTCTCTATCAGTATATACCCTTCTCTTTTGCTCTTTATTTAAGCCTATCTTGCTCTTTCTCTCTTTATTTTAGCCTATCTTGATGGCAACGATGCAGAGCAGACAAACTTGCTTTCTTGGCCAAATGCACTTGTGCCTCCTGCGCTTTTAATGATTGTTTACATCTCAATTTCCCCTCTCACTCTCTGGCACTCTACCCATCTCTTTCTGTTGTGGGACGCCACCGTTGCCGCCAGCTGTCAGTTTAAATGCTTTTTGACGGCTTGTGTCTGGCCGCCAGTTTAATTACGGCTTAAATGCGAATCGCTGTGAGCTTGCCTTGCAGCTAGCCCCTCGTAATCCCCTTTCTCCTACTCCGTCCCCCTCTCCCCCACTTCGATTTGGCCACCCCCCCTCTAATTAGCCTGCTTCTAATTAATTTGCGGCCATTTAACCTACGCTCTTGTTGTTGCCGCTCAGCGCCATTTTGATTTGCTCTTGATGTTGTTGTCAATTTGTTTATCACGCTGTTGTTGTTGGCTGTCCAAGCTCTTTAGGAGGCTCTTTACTCTATTGTTGGAGGTGTCTGTTTGGAGCGTTTATGAAACCACTTAATTGAATTAATTGTAAATGAACTTGCTGCTAATTGTTTTGTCTTTCTGTTGGTGAATTGAAAACTGTTGATTTGGCCATTTGAAATTGCTTTTCTTAATTAGTGAAAGAGATACTTTAAATTTGTTTGGCACAGCCAAGATATATTTTATACTTATTGCGATTTAACTAGTTTATTAAGGGAAATTCTTGTTTAATAAAATTCGTATAAAATTGATAGCTGGAATCCATTTTGTGGTATATATTAAAATTGAAATATCTGATTAAGGGACTTCGAAATTTGTAAAATGTGCCTAAGCTTAAACTTAAGTTACTTGAATATTAGAATCGTATCAGGTAAAATGTAACTATTTCGACCCCATAAAGTACATTTTTATATATGTTTGTAATGATAAGATCTTCTAAATTTATTAAAATGGGTTTACATGACAAATCTTTTAAAAGGGCATTAACTACGCCGTTCTTTACTCGGAACACCTGACTCAAATGTTTTTTTGTTTGGTCGAATTGTGTTAGATACTACCTTTTATTGATGTATCTAAAGTTTATTCTTTCAGTAAGTAGCTCACTACATAAAGGTTATAATGAAATACAAAATCATTGTAAGATTTTCTGTTTACCATTTAAGACTTAATCTATTCATGAAACAAAAAATCTTAAAAGAACATACAATTCCTTTGTTAAATAGCAACTCCCTAATTTCTCACCTCGCCGCTTGGATGATCCAAGGACTCAGCGCTATGGAGTTATGGCCATAACCATAATCGCAGCAATATCAATGCCCACCCATTTTTCGCAAGTCTTTGCCAATTTCTGGCCTGGGCGGTGGGCGTGGTCGAGACGCGGGAGCGACAATCGCTTGCCGGCAATCAAAACAGAAGCGAAATGAATTATAAATGACGTGCAGAAGACTATTTTTGGCACCCGGCTGACGGGGAGGAGCCGTCGCCAGCTGGCACCACAAATCCCCACTATAATCCAGTTAAAAAGCCTTCAAAAGTATTCACTCCCCCGCCACTAATAGAAGTTTAAATTGGCCCCAAGAAAGTGGAGGAGGGATTCTAATCCCATCTATGACTTCCTTTTCGCCATCGTTTCGTTTTCTTCGCGAGCGATTACCGCTGACTGATTGCTTATCAGCTGTCGTGCATCTCGAGGCGTTGCCAAAGTGCCAGTCCCGACGCCACCACCCACCACCCAACCGCCCCCTCCGAACCACCTCCCGCCTAAAGACCACCCCCTGTCAAGGCTAATACAATTTTGCGATTGTGTTTGTTGATTCCATGGGCTGCGAGCGGGTAATTGAAATCGATTTGCCCTTTATGACAGCGCCCACCGATCACGGCTAATGGGCAAATAATGCCGTTGGCTTCGGGCCCGATTTGTGACTTACCATCGCTGACCGATTCCGCGTTTCTGCCATTTCCAGTGCCGTTGCGATTCTTCAGGCCGAGAATGGCATCGATTGTGTGGCGCGGCGTTAGCGTCTGTCCGCCCGATCCGAACTTCCTGGCATTATCCTTCAGCAAGTCGTTGCTATCTGCGGGTTACAAAGAACACACAAAAACACATTTATATGCAGGGAGTGAGACCTGAATTAAAAGCCTGTTTGCCAACAGTTTGCCAAAGTCAATTAGGCGCACGACAGCCCAGTGACTCTATGCAAATTTGTCAGCAATTTCGAAAGTATTAAAATTTAGTCCAGTCCACATACACACAACTTTATTTGCGATTTTAACGAGCTAAAAGCTGTAATTGCGACCTGGACTCGCCAGCCCCCTCCCCCTACCATAGTAGGCCTCCCCCTTTCCCCTCACCTAATGGCCAGTTGTCACGACGGCATGCTGGAAAGTAGGCAACATGTTGCCTGATGGCTTTATGCATTTTTAACGAAATTAAAACAAACTGTGCCAAGTGGCGAGTGGCCGCGGAAAGTGCAGCGGAAAAATCCCTTTAATTGCCCCGTCTTGCAATTAGCTTTTAATTTTTCTCTCAAATTTTCCGCTGTGCATGTTAATGCACAAAAAAACATTGCTGTGAACACGCACACACTCAGGCATTCATGGGGCCAGAGCGGGATGGAGAGATCATTCTGGAATGTCCGTGTCCACCAGCAATTTGTGTTAATTAAATCTATAATCAAACAATTGCAAGTCTTTTCCGGCTAAGGCCACACATGGAAAAAACAGGACCTTAAATCACTCAGCCAAACGGCACTGAAATAATAGGTGTTGGTCTGCTGGTCTTTAAATATTAGTGTTTACAGATTTATGAATAAAGGTATTTATTAATTTTATACTGTAACATTTTCTTTTTTTTTCAAGTTTAACCCATGTATTTTTAATTACCTAAAAAAGAATCCATTTAAATTGCACAATCGATTAAAAAGTAAATAAAAACAAGAAAGGAAAGCTAACTTCGGGCGGAGCCGAAGTTGATATACCCTTGCAGAATACTCTGTAAATTATATTCTCCAAAATTATTCATATGATGCATTCTTAATACTCATAAAAAATCCCAACTTATTAACTTTAAAAACACCAAAGTTATGACATTTCCAATCGTTCAGTTATATGGCAGCTATAGGATATAGTCGGCCGATCCTTATGAAATTTGGTAGGTCGGATTGGCTGGCCAAATATAACACCCATAGAAAATGCCAACTTCCTAACTTTACAAACACCAAAGTTATGGCATTTCCGATCAATCAGTTATATGGCAGCTATAGGATATAGTCGGCCGATCCTTATGAAATTCGGCATGTCGGATTGATTAGCCAAATACAAAACCCATAGAAAATCCCAACTTCCTAACTTTACAAACACCAAAGTTATGGCATTTCCGATCGTTCAGTTATATGGCAGCTATAGGATATAGTCGGCCGATCCCGGCCGTTCCGACTTATATACTGCGTGCAAAGGAAAGAAGGGTGTGTGCAAAGTTTCAATTCGATATCTTTAAAACTGAGAGACTAGTTCGCGTAGAAACAGACAGACGGACAGACAGACGGACAGACGGACAGACGGACAGACGGACAGACGGACAGACGGACAGACGGACAGACGGACATGGCTATATCAACTCAGGAGGTGATCCTGATCAAGAATATATATACTTTATAGGGTCGGAGATGTCTCCTTCACTGCGTTGCACACTTTTGACCAAAATTATAATACCCTCTGCAAGGGTATAACAAACACATCATTTCCTTAAAAACAGTTCATAAGATAACTATTCTTTCTAAAAAAAAATCGTCTAGATGATGTCAATATTAGTTATTCATAATTTCTGGAAAATATTTCTTAATCAAAATAATATATTTTTTTCACAATTTACTTGATTTGGTTTGCCCCTTATCCCTGTTTTATTTAAAAAACTCAATTTTGACTACCAGATTTCTTTTTTACTACTGTTCTTAAAAAATAAATATTATTTAACTCGAGATTCCTAATTTACTAAGCTACTGAAATTAGGTCAGAAAGTTATTTTATCAAAAACGTTATGAAAACCAAAGAGTATGCTTGAATGAAAAAACCATCCACAATTTTTCTGAATTCCAATTTGAACTTAAACGGAAACAAAAGTTGCTATCAATTTTATTTCAACTTATGAGGAGACCATCAAAAATTGCCGTCGGAAGAAGAGCTCACCTTCCGCCGAGATCACAGTGTTGTTGTTGGCCACATGGGCGGCGTAGTGCTCGTGGAACTGCTCCAGGTTCTTGAACTTCTCCACGATCATCTGCAGATTCTTGGCATCCCGGACATTGCCAAGCAGGTGGCGCAGGTGCTCCAATTGCTTGGGCGGGAGCTTGTGATTACCGCCGCCCTGCTGCACCAGCTGCTCGAAGATGTGCTGGAATGTGGCGGCGGTGTTATGGGTGGCCGCGGAGGAGTTGTTGGCCGCTCCACCTGGACCACCAGGACCACCGGGACCACCCGTTCCACCCGAGTTCGCTCCCGGCTTGGCAGCTGGCGATCCAGGCTGGCCAGGAGCCACTTCGAGGGCGGGCGGCGTCGAGGCTTTGATATCCATTCGATACTAGGGCAAAAGTACTTTATCGGCAATGATATGTTTGATCACAGTTCAGGCACCAACACACACACACAAACACAAATTGTATTTAATTCGCTTCCAGAACTTCCTTCACTTTTCCTCTGGCTAAATGTCAAGCATTTTTCAGTCACAAGCGGCGAAAACTTCAGCTCCGAAACGAGACTACCAACTACCGAAACCGTTGCGCACCGAGCCAAGGCAGAGTTGGCAATAAACTCGAAAACAGCGACTGTGGCCCGCTGACGGCTCGAGTTTCCAAATCGAATTGGAAACCGGTTGAGCTCACCACATCTATATATAATCAGTGTTGCCGTGTGTGTGTGCTTCTAGGGGGCGGAGCCATCGCTGGAGAGGATTCGAGAGCGAGAGCGGAAGAGAGTGCGCAGGACTCGCAGGGTGGCAATCCTCTCTTCGCCGGCACGGGTCACAATCGTCCTCCCCAGCCCATGCGATCCGGAGTCCGGAGTTTAACAATGAGTTTTCAGGAGACCCCTGCCCAGTGGTTTGTTTGTCGGCTTCGTAATAAAATAAACTAACTGCACTTACTGCCCTTCGCCCAGCCTTCCTGGTAGGGGAGTCCTTGCTGAGTCCTTGCACTTTTCCGCCCTGCCCTGCCCTGGAATTATGACTTTGGTGCCACAGATTTTTCGACCACAATTCCATCGGAAAACCATTTTGGGCTTAGGCCACAAAGTGTGTGCCTCGTTTAGACTCTCCCTCTCTCTATCCATCGGCATTTCCCTCTCGCTCTACAGCTTCTCCCAAGGAGCGTGAAACCTAAAACGGATACATAAGTGGATTTTGTTAATATCCTGCTATTGTTACAAATTTGCAAGCTGATTGCGGCAGGGGCACTTGTCAAGGAAATAAACTTAAAAGCATTCGTCAGTAGCTGAGGTCAGGGAATTATCATGCCGTACTTAATGTTTTAACTAGAAGGCTGAGAAGAAGAGTTGGTATCTGAGCACCAGAGCCTTGATTAACACACTAAGTAAGTGCCTTGATTAACACATACGACAAATTAAGATGTAGGTTTTGTATTATTATCAGCCTTAATAAAGTGCTATTGAAGGTTCGACAAAAAAAGTATTTATCATTTTTAATCATCAGTAACCAATCTGTAATTTTGTATGACTTTTGGTCCCACGAAGTTCTCAATTGTGTTATTTAGTTCGAAAGAACTAATGACTAATATGTAACTTTACTGAAATATATGGTAGTATTATTTTTCTAACAAAATTAAAGCCGCTTAAAAGATAAGAATAGTAGTTTTCCATACCATTTAAATTTATTCAGGAAACACCAATAATCGTTATTTAATACTTCTATAAAAGACTTCATGGATTTGTACTCTATTTTTTTCATATTTTACTGTTTTTTTTTATATTTTATAAGGAAGACTGAATATTCTTGTATTAGTTTTCCAATTTGGCGGTCGTTATTACACATTCTGCTAGAGCAGAATAGTTTTTATTTGCGACTTTTATACATGAAACAAATATATCGCAGTAGTCTTTTTAAAATAAAAGTGTCAGATATCGATTTTTTTCAAACACTATTCCAAGAAACACTTCATAAGGAAATAATATAATAAGCATATAAAAAAATATAATAATATAATAATAAAATAGTCAATAAATTTCGCTTAAAATATGTTAATAAATCATTTCAAATTTGTGTAGTATAAACATGATTATCTCTTGAACATGGTATCATAATTTTTTTTTAATTTAAAATGTTTATAATCATTTATCAATTTCTATTTGTTACTGGTAGTTAATTAGGTGGTCCTTAAAATCTGTTTCAAATGTCCTATATTTTAAACACATTTAGTTTGTAAGCTAAATAGTAGACAAAAACGCATTGGTCATTGAAGGTGAGTCCCCTGGAAGGCCCCCATCCACTTCCGACACTTGATTGTCAGCCGGGTAATAGACGCAGTCAGCCAGTTCAGCCAGCCATTAAGCGCGGCCAATACCATTACCATTTACATTTAGCCGGCATCTCGCAGCTTACCTGTTGTCATGAGTTGTGGTTTTTTCCCCTGAGCTCGACTATTCCATTTCAGTCCAGTTCATTCAGTTTCCCTTTTGGCTTCGGTTCAATTTGCCCGTTTACGCTATCTTCCATTACACGTTAAATGAAAATGCCAGATAACCAGCGCACGGTCCACCCATTTTAACCTCCAACCCCTCCCCCTGCCATCTGGTTTGGACCCTCCTTTTGGCCCAGCGATTCGATTTGTGCCAACTAATGAGCTCTTAATGCGCGTTTATTCTTACGCATAACGAGCTTGCCAAACGTAATTACGTCCTAGGGATGTGTGCGTGTGTGTGTGTGTGTGAGGGGGCGACTCTTGTGCTCTCTCCCCGGCTGTCAGTGTGTGTATCTGTGAGAGGCTGCCATGTTGGCGCGCTGCTTAATTGAAGTGGAGCGTCAGACAGACAAACTGTATCTCGGGTATCTCCGTCTGTTCTCTAGGTGTGTGTGTGTGTGTATCCACTTAAGCCCGCATTAGTGTGAGTGTGAGTCCTCGCATCCTTTTCATTTACGCCACATCCGCAACGTTAACTCGCTGCTCTGCCACTCCTCAACTTTTCGCCGCTTCCCCCTTTTTTGTTTTAAATTAATTTGCTTTTAATTTGCTTTATTATGTGGCAATTTCTCCTCCTTTCGCTGGATTTAATTAGTTTGCTTTTATCGTTAAGCTGTTAACGGCGACTTTGCCACAAAATGTGTGCTCGAAGAGAAGAGAAATAATAATTTTGGCCAAATTAAGCATACGCCCAGTGGGCAGGGGAAGCATCTAATTGAAGGTTCTGCGTTGGCAGTGCTGATATCATCTGATCATCGGGCAGCTGTGACCGAACTGCACTTAGCTGAAAAGTCTTATCAAATTGAGAGCCTCTGCATCTAAATCATCATGGGCATGCGTAAAAGTCTTAAAAAAAGGGGATTCTGCTGCTGTGATGAAGAACCAGTTTGTTGGCCTACCTTTTAGCTTCAGGCCCTCCTCTCATAATTCCCATTCGTATTCTAGCTCTCTGTGCCTGTGGGCGTGGTCTACGCCAGTCGCTCTCACTCTCTCTCTCTCTCTTCGGTCGTTTGTGTGCGTGAGCGCTTCGGCGCACTAAACTCACACACAGTCACACACACAAGAGACCCGCTCGCACAAGCACACACACCGACATGCCTTGTGGTAGACCATTGAAAAAGTGATGAAAATAACTCTCTGTCACTTTATTGGCGCTTAACGAGTTTGAGTTGATGAAGAATTTAATTTATGATGCTGCTCACACCATCAAGAAAAGCGAGCAGCCCCGAAAGAGATGGCAATACAGGAGGAGAGAGAGACGGAGGGAGGAAAAATGGGTGGAAAAGTGGGAGGGAGGTAGCCAAAAACCGCAGAGCACAAGAGACGGTGAGAGACAGAGAGAGAGAGAAGGGAAAAAAGAAGAAAAATTAATGAACTCGTAACTGTCGCTTTTGCAAATTGGGCTCTGAGAGTGTGCGAGTGTGTGTATATGTGTGACACACACATACCCACACAGACACAGAAGGAAACAGCAGCCGTCGCTGCCGGCAGACGTCAAGCTTTGATGATTTAATTTTCTGGTCTTCTAATTTAATTTTATTATAGAAATACAGACATGTGTGTATGTGTGTGTGTGAGTCTGAGGGAGAGCGGCTTGCTTGTGTGAGTGCTCCTCACACCCTCACAGACACACATGCAAATTCGTTAATGGAAAATGGTGGCGTTTAATTGAAAAAGGAAGTGCGCCAAAGGGCTGAGCGACAGAGACAGGCAACCGAGGGGCGGGGGCAGGGCAAAGGACTCGGCGAGGACCGAGTTTTCCATCAAATTAATTTCATGTGTGTGACTGCTTCTCTGTCTCTCTCCTTGCAGACATCTTTTTATTGTTATTTTTTATCCAATTTGTATCTTTCTTTTTTTTTTTGCTATTTTTAGTGCGGTTCCTGTTGCAATAACATTTTTCAATTAAATTTATTTATTTGTATTGCCGATATAAAAAGTGAAACAGAAAGCGAGTAAATAAGAGCTCTGTTCAGTTTGCTCACCCACAAAGTTAATTGAATTAAATATTCCAGCGAGATAATTACAAAATGGCGTTGATTAATCGTCAGCCGCCATATTGATTTTGCCAGCAACAATATTTAATGATTAACAATTAACATTGAACAGGGATTTTTGATGCAGACACTGCAGCCATGCCATTCCATCCTCTTTGTGCCTTAATAAAAGCAATTAAAATTCATTAGCTGCAAATACACACACACACACACTCTCTTAGCAAGGACTCACACAATCACACACTAATGCCATCATGCGCTCGTTTTCTCAATTATTCATTCAATTTTGCATGCCACAAAAGCAAGAGCCAAGGCAACTTAGCAATCCTTAGCAAGCCACCCATCACCCACCACCCACAAAGCTCTGCGAAGCATCCTCCATACATATTCATGCGGCTAAATGAAAACGGCAACACTTAAATGCAATTTGCCTCAATTTTACCAGCAGCCAACTTCCCCTCTCCTCCGAACCTTTTTTCCCGTCGAGCGTCTTGGCTTAGAGCGTCTTAACGTCTTTTCATGGCACTTACATCGTCATTCTATTCGTCTAATTTCATTTTCCTACACAAACTGCTGTATTGCTGAGGGAAAGGCGATGGGCTGGGTTGAGCTGGCCAAACTGCCTTCGGTTTATTCAGCTACTAGAGGAGTTGGATCCTGGCAGACTGCCTGCTTTATTCTAATTACATTCAATTAAATATGTTGATTGATATGTTTGTTCTGCTGCGACTGCTTCGAAAGAGTAAACGATTTGGCGAAGGAGTTGAGCAAATGAGGCACTAAATTACTTGGCTTTATTTGCGCTCTGGTTGTATCGATAAGGAATTGAATACACAATATTTTTCCCTAATAAAGGTTTTATACAAGGATATGAGTGCAGATTTTTTTTAGAAAACTTAAATATCAAAGTGAATTTATTCAGCTTATACAAGTTTTATTAACCTATAAATAAAATTAATTTTGCCTATTCAATTTTTTTAGTAATAAGAACAGTGCTACAGGATTAATGTTGTAGCAATTTCAGGAAAGAATTGCTCTAATTGTTTTTGTGCCTTTGTTTCACAAGGTTTTATAATTCTCAACTAGTTCTGAAATCGAAGTGTTGGTCGATTGCTACGAGCGGAACGAAGTAAATGCTAACCATTCTTGAATAAATATAATTCCAATGTATTAATTACTTTTATTTTGTTATCTTTTTCTTCGAATTTAAAAAAAAAATCGCTCATTTATCTTACATTCAATCGTATTAAACAAAGCAACATCATTATAGTTTTCCACGAATATTTTCACTAAAGTCATTTCGAAATATGCAGCTCATTTGGTTTGGATATTTTCTAAAATGTCGCTGGTATACTTTGACGGATAAATTGATTTTGAAACTAATTAATTGCATATTATTTGCATTTTAGTGTTTCATTTTCATCTAATTTAACATACATAAACGCACAAACTTTCACATGCATGATGAGTAATTATTGCTATTCTGGGAAAAATTGCATTAATTTTCTAACAAACATTTTCATATTAATTGAACATTTTGTGTGCAATCAATTTGCATATCAAGCATTAATAAATGGAATTATCCGTTTTTAATTGCATTTCTCAGACAAAAGTTTTAGTTTTTGGCCGAAAAATAAATTGTTTTGTCCACGTCCATGGCTGCCAAACCGAAAACGAAAAGCGCGACCGAAAAATTAAGCTTTATTTGTGGAAATTGCAATTCAATTAAGTTTTCAAAACATGCAAATTGCGAATGGGCGCTCAGCACAAATATTGACAGAGCACAGAGCACAACAACAATAACATTGCGGCCCGAAACTTGTTTGTATAATTTCATTAGCGTTGATTTGCAGCAAATGCAATTGCAGTAAAATTCACTTGGCCTGCCATTGATTAAACAAGTCGACGTGGAGCTCCACGTCCGAACTGGAGGCCTCAAATCGAATTGGATCCGGGGAGGGACTCGCAATAAAAACTGATTACAGGCCAATGGCCCGGCCTGTTCGAAAATTTCCATCTATGGTTAGGCGCCAAATGATAATTATGCTCGTAAGCCTGGAAACTGGAACTCTGATTGCCAAGCAGCAGCTGTAATGAAAGAAGGGGAGGGAGGAACGGGGACGGGAGAAGAGGGTGCGTCGCCGCAGGAGGCCCAAAAACCCAATCCCAGGCCATGCCCATTCCCATTCCCGTTCCCAGTGCCGTTGCCAATCTCAATCCCAATCCCAATCGCTGGGCAAACATGTCCGCAACAGTTTCCGCTGCACTAACGAAATTACAAACGCAGACTCACACGCACACATTCGCAGAGCTGTGTCCTGCGGCGATTGTGCGCACAGGATGCGGAACAGGCTCAGGACCCTGCAACGGCTAATGCTAATGCTAATGCTCTTTGAACGACTAATTAGTGAATTACTATATAAGCAAACTATTTGCCCAGCAAACGGCAACGTAAGGCAAATTGTGCGGAAGACTGTGCAGGACCTGGGCCAGAAATAGAGCGGCAACCAATTAGACTCTACTTGGAAGCTAATGGCGTTCCGGTTGCCCAGTCATAGGGTGAACGTACTGGACTGGGTTTCATTGATGGGCCTAATACGATTTTAGCGAGTAGTTACTATTTAAACGTTTTAAATGTTTGCTGTTATTTATGTTGAGTTAGACAATGTCGCTCATGACCAATGTTATGCAACCATAAAAACTAAACTTTAGCTTTTCATAACTTCAAAAAGTATTTTCTTTGGAACTCTTTTAATACTGATTTAATGTGAGTATGGTACAAAAAATCGATTTATTGTATTTATTTAAATTTGTTCATTCACTTTTGAAGGATTTAAACGCATTCCGAAAACAAAAATGATTTTAAAATGTAAATAATTTATTTTTTATTCAAAGTTTGAAAATAATACTTTAAAGTTATATTAAATCTCAAATTTAAGTTGACGATGGCATATTTTTTTTCTCTAAATATCAATTTATAGTCTTTATTAGCCAAGTGTTAAATGCATCCAGGAAACGTTTTCAATTAAGATTCATATTTTATTTAGTTAATTTTACTTATAATCCCATTAGTATAATTCAATTTAAGCTTTTAGTTTTTGAACAATCAAACACTCATCTAAAACCCGGTTCGGTAGCGGTTAAGGTAGACCGATCGTTCCTCGAGCGGCTGCACTGGTCTAGCATTGCGTCCGATCCGAGCTCCGTACCTGTTCCTCAACTGCCGGAATTCGTTCAGTTGGCGCTCGCTAATGGCCAGGGGCGGTGGGTGGACCCACCACTCCGCTCCGCGGTGACAAGGCGGTTCGGTGAGGGATCCGTGGTAGCTGTAGAACTTGGTGTAGAAGGCCGGCATCAGGTAGCTCAGCGGAAAGGGGGGCACTTCCACCGCCTGGCCCGCCTGCTGAACAGCCACCAAATGCTGGACGAGGACGTCGAGGAACGGATTGTCCTCGGAGAATTCGAACAAGTAGGAAATCATCAGGATGCCCTGGCTGGAGGTGCAGCCATCCTGGTAGGCATCTGTGTGAAGGCACTGCATCTCCAGCGGGCTGTGCCGATTGTCCGTCGTGTGCTCCGAGCCGTATGAGTTGGTCCAGCTCCAGCGGAAGGAGATTTCCCGGAAGTCGAAGCGCCCAAGAAGATCCCCGCCATCGATGGAGGGCGGCCGACCAGGAAAGGAAGCTCGAAGGATCACCGTGTGCCCGTTGTTCTCCAGGCGAATGCCCAGGGGCACTTCGTTGTACTGGCACCACACGAGGGGCGAGTTGAAGTAGTTGATCTCCAAACAGTTCCGCTCTATGTTGATGGGACTCTGATTGTTGGCCGGCGTATTCCAGGTGTGCGGACCACGATCCCATCCGTAGTCGTAGGATTCCGGGGAAACGTGAAGGGTGCAGTCCAAGTTGCGGGAGGTGCCCCTTGGATGATCTCCATCACCGTCATCCCCCTCCGCGGATCTCCTCTTACAGCTGTTGGCCATGGCGAATCCCGAGTACACATTGAACACCACCAGTAGGGCCACGCAAATGGCCAGGATCAGCTTGAGCACAATGCTGTCCTGCAGACGGCAGGAGAAGTCCTCCAGCCAGCACCACAGCTGCTTCCACAGACCACAGGTCAGGCATTCGTTCATCTCTATAACTGGAAAGTAGAATCCACTCAAGAAAACTTGGAGGGGAATGCTAACTCCATTGGATGACAGCCAAGTACTGGCCTTCCTGGTTGAGCGGCAAAATTGAGAAAATTTCTAATTAAACCCGCTGAAAAGTTAATTATTTTGGAAAACAAATTGGGCGCACAGCAATTTTGTGCGACAACATTTGCAATTTGTTTGCATTTGTATTTTGCATAAATTAATTACGCACAAAACTCTCTTCGGCGGCGGAAATTGCTTGCACAAATATCCTGTGACGCTCCTGCGTGGACAGGACCCTCCAGCCTCCTCCCTTAACCCTTCTCTGTTGCATTTTGGGAAATTAATTAGTTTTGAATGTACAAAATAGCGAAATGAGCACTAGGAGCCAAGCGGAAATTATTTCCAGCTCTCCAACACCTTTTATGCTGCCGCAGGAACTACACAGAAAAAAAGGAATTAAAGAGCGATTGATTAAATAACAAAACTTCATTATGTCACCGGTAGACATTCTCCATGTGTAGGCCCATGGTTGACTTATGGCCTGTGAAATTTGAGACTTTTCGACCATCTCTGATTAGCATAGCAAAGTTATCAAAAGCCAGCCAGCCAACCACGCCCACAGTTCGGGATTGAGGGGTGGGTTCCCACTGCGATTCAATTATGACATTTTTCTGATCAATTCGTTTGGCTTTGATTTGATTTCATTTTCCTGCACTTGTGCAGGGCGTTGACGTCTGCCAAATGTTACGAATCGACCGTGCCCTGGCCTCTCAGGACCTCCTCTCATCTGCCGAGCGTCCGGGTGGTATCCGTAGTATCCGTAGTATACGTGGTATAGGTGGTCGTGTCCTGGGGCATGCGAGCTGCACGCAAATTGACGGGTAAGCATGTGGCATAAACGGAAACACTAACATCGTTAGGCGAGTCCTGCCAGAGGGTGCCAAAATAACAAAATACGAAAATAACGGAATAACAATCATAACCATTTTTGAGTAACCAGGCCCCGCGGCAGTTGTTTTCATTTGTGACCGAATGACTCGATTTTTATGGTCGCTTAGGGTTAATTGAGGCTGCAGATTCGGTTCAGGGGTTGCTGTTGCTTGTTACACAACGTTTGTTTTGGTTACAGGGCCTTAATATCCGGTTCAAGGGCTCTATTTAAGTGCTCAAAAGTTGTTTGATCGACTTCCATAAATCACTGTTTTACTATGTTTTGCAACACAGAAATCTAAATTGCGGTTTTGACTGCGTATTACAATATAAAAGAACTAATCGCAACTAGTTAAAATTCATTTAGTTTTTCTAACATAGCGCGCTTTTGAAAAGCTTAGCAACTTAAGAACTTCAAATTAAATATTATTTATAAAATGAGACGTAAAAGAGGTAAATGTTTTTACCTTTTGTTGTTTTCTATGCCCATACCGACAATAATGCCGAAGATTTGAACATTAAAATAATTAATACTTTAAAATCCAAACTGATTAGTTCCATTAGAATCCAAATTATTTTTAAGTTAACCTCTGATGTGAAATGGTGTTTGAAATCTGTTGTAACTAAAAACTAAAATCACCTGACAACAAAAATTAGCCTTTTATTTTTTCTAAAGTATTTCAATTGACCAACCATCTATTTGTCCTATTCACTTAGTTTCAGACTAGAAAAAATTCCAGCTACTGCAACTGCATCCCTGAACACCCACAAACATGCGAAGGAAATTTCCGCTTCCGCTTTGGTAAACTTTGTTAAAGCAACGCGAAAATTGAGCCAAGGAAAAAACACAGCTCACAATTCCAGTGGCTCTACCTGCAGGATAATGCAAATGAAGTTGGTCTCACTTTGAATTCGATTGATTTGTCTGCTGCACGGCTCGATTATATTCTCTTAAATCACTTAACCACATTTGCCGATTACTGCGAGGAGAGAAGAATGTCCTTGGCAGTCGGGCGCAGCGGGAGCCTTTGGCTCGGTGTAAATTTTCACACATTATTCGGATGCCCGGACAAGGACGAGACAATTACTGGGCTCCGATAACATTGTCTAGTGGGATTTTCTCCACCTCGGCAGCCATCTCCCTTGCACACAGCTGATAATGTTAATATGCGCCGCAGGACATCAAACACGGATCAGGACGAGGTATTGAGGGCACTCAACTTTGTTTGGCCAATCCGCTTACGCTTTTGTATCCTTCTCTGCTTTGGAATACTTCAGGATTATCGGTTGTCTGCGATTGTTAAATGAACAACGCTGGGTTAGGTAGCCTTAGCCTGTGAGAGTGTCTTCTCTTGCCAAACCGCAAAAACATTTCTTAAGATCGTTTTGCGGCCATGTTGCCACTGTATTTCTCGCTCTCTGCTCCTCAGCTGCCTGCGAATGTGATCCTGATCCCTATCGCAGCATGCGTCCTTTCACTATTTTCGTGTTGTTTTCACAGCCTCCGGCCGCAGTTGCCCTCATTAGCAGCTTAGGGGCGTTGCCGTGTTTTGCTTGCTTGTCGACAATGTTTGCTACTTGGCCGACTGAATAATGTCCTTGTTCCATCCAGAAAGACACCTCATTCAAAGCGTGCACTTCCCTTCCGCCTTTGTTGCCTTCCCGAGAGGAACAAGAGGTTCCTGCGGGACGGATCCATTAAATAATAGTATCATTGGCATTTACAAGAACCGAAGAACGCCTTCAGGAACCAGAGGGGTGGGAAACGGCCGGGGATGATTGTTGGTGCCAAGTCGTGTGATTGCTATCGCTCGTCAGCTAAATTAGTTTGCTATCGATCGATCTATTGAGCTGCACGGATTACATTATATGAAATTGATTTTATTAGGACCTAAAAATTTTAAAAATATATGACGTCAATAAACGAATCTTTTAAAGAACACCGTGCTTTTTTTTTGCTTCTAGGGAGTTGATCGTTTAAGTGTTTTAATACGTTGCATAGATCTCGAAAATGGGTATATGTATATTTTATAAGCATCCCTACGCTGAATAATCTTAAAAATTCCGTATGTCTCTGCGAAAAAATTTGTATAGCATATAGATTAAGTTAAATGTACACTTATTTCTTACTATAGTTACCCATGTAAAAGAAATAAATTAACTGTAGACATAGAAAAGCTTATAAACCGTTGCAGTTATTAAAAAAATGAAATAATTAGAATTTTATGATTATAAGTTTCATAAGAATGGTTTTACAAAATCGCACAATAGTCATAGTTTAGAGTACATATGTATATATACATATATATTTTGAAAACGAAGTTCAAGTTTTTTAAATTTATTTTTTCGATTTTTTCTGAACGAGCTATATAATATAGTCGTCCGATCCGACGTGCCGAGTTAAATACAAACATAAACAGCATAAGAAAGAATGCTTTAGGGAAACTTTAATTCATCGGTATCGTTGAGAACTACCGAAAAATATAACACCGAAATTATAATAAAGAATAAAACAAAAAAAAATAATGAAAATCAGAATATAAAACAAGAGAGAAAGTTATAGTCGAGTGCCTCGACTATTAGATACCCGTTACTCAGCTAAACAACTTAATATAAATATGCCTCCTTGTATGTTTTTCGCCGCTCGAATTAGCTCCCGATTTTTATGGCGCTATTGTATTGCGCCATCTACCCCAAGACATTGGTACCACGGGCCATGAAAGGCGGAAATGTAGGCGCTAGCCAGGCTTAAGCGTTTAATGGGTTTTTGGGCGTTAGAGTGGGCGTGGCAAATTTGTATTAGACCAATCGATAGGTATTGACGAAACAACAACATATCAATTCAAATTTTCATAATAGCATCAAAACTGTGGCCACAACTTGTGGCTTGTGGGCGTCAGAGGGGTCGTGGCACCATTTAGAAACAAACTTGCGCTGCGTAGGAACTCCTAAAATCTACATGCAAAATGCCAATCTTTTAGCTTTTATAGTTTCCGAGATCTCAGCGTTCATACGGACAGACAGACGGACAGACAGACGGACAGACGGACATGGCTAGATCGACTCGGCTAGTGATCCTGAACAAGAATATATATACTTTATAGGGTCGGAAACGCTTCCTTCTACCTGTTACATAATTTTTCACGAATACAATATACCATTTTACTCTAAGAGTAACAGGTATAATTATCGCTTAAAATGCCTATATGTTCCAGAAAAAAGTTCAGTTTTTTTTTAAGTAAACAACAATCTAGAATTTATTTATATTTTTACCTCGGTAAGGTAAAAAGTAAAAATCCCTATCACTGATATTATATAAATTTTGTTTGCTAAATTTAAGGGCATACATTTATAATTTTTTTATTATGATGAATACATTCCAAGGCTATTGGATACGATCGGAATTATTGGTTATGTTTATACATTTTCCAGGTTACATTTTTTGCTGTAGCCTGCCGAAAAAGAAAACTATAGAAAACACTTTATTTAAATATAGGTCGATTATTTAGTGGTTATGTTTGTTACCTAATTTTTGATATTGAATGTGTGATTGTATCGACTTTCCTACCCCGTTAAGGGATGTTTTGGTTTGACTAAACTGTTAACAAATAATAATAAAGCTTTGCCTCAAAAGTCGAAACGAAAATTAATGAAAGTATTCGAGCCTCAAAAGGTCCATAAATTTAAAAACACAAGAATGTCAACTAAAGCACTTATTTGAAGAACGGCGCCAAAACTGAATGACCACTTTGAAGAAAACGCAGAAAGTTTCGTAACGAAGTGTCCAAAAAGCACCTACATTTGCGTTAAACCTGAAATCTGTGTTTCGCGAAATTCTCCGCTCCGCCGCATTTTCCGCAAGAGAAAAGTGCTGACGAGGGGAGCTGGGGATGGGGGGCAGGTCGCCGCGATCAGTTTTCCGTGGAAATTGATCGAATACAGCAGTTTTTCCGCCGCACGTGTTACCCTTGTGCAAAATACAGTGCTGCCAGACTGAAACTGAACTTTCCCGGTTGTTCCCCAATTTCACAGTTTTCCGACCTCGCCCCCCGTCGTAAGTCCCCCAAAAGCGCAGGAAACGCTCCCAACGCTTCTCACGTCCGAAATCATACCCTCCAGACTGCCAGCGTTGCCCCCTCCATACCATCACCATTCCGGCGATGCCAATTTTCTGTTAACTATTTTTTCTACACGGAAAAATAGAAAACTACGACTGCTAATGTAAAAATGTACACTTTGATTTACTTACACAAGATGGCGCTAGACAAGGTGGTAGAAATATAATACAAAATTTCCAGAAGCGGAAAATGCGGCGGAACGAAAATTTGGAAACAAATTTGGGCTTAATGCAAATTGTTTGCTTTTACTTTGCGGTCACTTGCACGGCAAAACAGATTTTGCTTGTTTTGTGCTTTGCCACTGTGGGAACTATTGTTACTACTTTAGCGCCATCTAGCGTTGCTTAAGAAAATGAGCACCAAAGTTTCTTAAAACTTTCTCAGAGGGCGCTGGCGTTACAGATGGCGCCAGATGGAAGACAAAATGCAAGTACAACAGAATTCTACAATCTACATTTGACTCAGTATTGCCATTATAGCTTTTTTAAAGCTGTTTTAAAACAAAAAATGTTCCGATGTTCCGTTGTCTCCCGGTGACCAAGAATTTAAAAAGTCAATTTGCTGAGTCCTTAAAATCATTTTTTTTACATTTTGAATCGTTGGTTTTAATTTGATGCAGTTTCTGGACCCAGAGATTGGAAAAGATTTAAGGAAAGATTTTAAGAAAGTAAATGCCACTTTTGACTGTAATTTTAATTTTACACATATGTTTATTTTGTAAGCCAAATATGCATTAATTTATTTGGTGTTAGTAATCACACTTCTATAATTAGGGTTTCTGTTAAAAATTCCCAGCTTTTAAATGCCTTTCTTCTCCGTATCCAGATCTGTTTATCATCTAAAAACGTTCTCGATTCGAAAAAAAATAATTGTAAGTTTTAATTCTGTATTTATTTCGTTAATGATAATTAGTTTAAGCCATTGTGCTGAATTTCTTCATAAGCGGAGTTTGACTCTGTACTGAAAATGGCTCAAAATAAAAAAACAGAAAACAAAGAGAAAAGAGCCAAGCCCGACAAATGTTAAGCAAGAATAATGCGTTACACGAAACTGCACTAAGCTCAACATTTTCGGTTTTACGCTTCTCAGAGTTTTTTCTTATTTATCTATCTTTTATGCGCCTCCTTGCAGCGCGAATCGAGTGAAAGGCAGCGACAGAAGGATGTGTTGGAGGAGCTAACTTTGAACTCCACTCGCTCGTTGTCAGTCAAGGAGGCCAGAAGCCTTTTTGGCCTAGACAAATTACCGCCGAGCTCTCCAGCGCAGCCATCAGTCAGAGTCGAGGAACAATGAAAATCTTTTTGGGTTCCGGACACACATAGACGAAGTAGGAGAAGGGCGTAGGGCGACAAAAAATGGACTCCATCCCGTATATGGCCATGCTAATTAGGCCTGTCCTAGGGGACTGCCAACTGGACCTGGGCCAATTAAATGCTTAAGCTGACTTTCGGGTTCGAGCTTGTCATAAATTTTGACTGATTATGCGTATTCGTCTTTGTCGTCGCCCTCTGCCCCTCCTCCCACCGCCCCAAGGACAACGTACCGACCCCATCCCATCTCATACTTCGACACAAGTACTCGTGACAACTGAAGAAATTTCTGCGGCAGCAAAACCCTACCTCCCAAGTGTCCAAAGCAATTCATCATTCAATTAAATTGACCGCAAAGAGCCGCATTTCACATCGCTCAGTTCGTCGACATCGCCTTGGGTTAAGTTTTAAAGTTGCCCAAAGTCAAATCCTTTAATGCGCTGCCAGCGGTTGCTGCAATCGATTATCCTTTCAATAAAATGCCGCGGCCCGAAAAAAACTTTTTCCCCTCGAACCTTCTTCTCAGCCAATTCCTGCCCCCGAATTTGGGGATATCTTTTGAGGTTGATTTATGCGCTGGCTTAAAAGCGAATTGTTGTGAGCTGCTAACTGGAAATCTGTTTGACTGCACGTACTTGTTGGTTCTCCACACATATCCCCCAAAACCCTCCTCTTTCCGGGCTTAAGCGATTGCCAAACAAAGTCAAAGCGTCGTGCATGCTGGCAGAATCCTTTGCATTTGAGCTGCGTTTTTTGACAGGCTTTTTGGTATGCCGGTCCAGGCATCTCAAGGATTTCGCAGCTGTCCTAGTCACAGTCACTATCCAACTCCCTGGCTTTTGCCAAAGTGATTTACGACCTGCTCATGCCGAGCATTCAAAATTCGATCTAATTGAGACTCCTTTGATGATTAGCCCTTGGCAAACATTGTGAAATTTAACTACTCTTCGCAACACAAACATTTTTTTTTCCCATAAATTTATATGTCTTTTTACTGGCGGACTCAAAAACACCTTTGATTAATTAACACTCGAAGTTTTTATATTTGCTTTATGGAAAAAAAATAAATGAAAAGTGATGCAGAAGCTCTAATAAGTGAACCCAACACTGAATTGAGATGTTATCACGATTTATTCGGCTTGTTTACTTTATAATACACTAGCCAAAAAGTTCAGGTTTATGGCTTAACGAACAAACTGAAAATGCTGTTGGGTGCCAGAGAGAACACCCATAACGAAAAATATTTAATTATAAACTGCATACTATATAATTGGTGGCTTAATTGTTAAAGTCCTAAGTTTATAGTTTAAAGGCAATTATTTATTAAACAGATATATATTTTTCTGAGATTGAAAACAATAGCTTTAAGACTTTAAATAAACATAAAAAACTTTTAACAATCGATTGAACAGAGGTCAAGAACAAAAGTTATTTTAAGAGTTTAATTGTTTAATTGTAAAACAAAAAGTTAATTGTTAAAGGTTATTTTTAGGTTAAAAATGTTAAATGGCAACACACGTAGTGACGACTTTTAGAGTGTGAGGAGGAGACTACTAGGAATTGAAAATCTGCAGTAATGTTTCGATCGGAAAAAGTGATATACCGATTTAACCCATTACGGTTATAGGTAATCAAAATATTAGCAACAAATACACTTTTTAATATTTTTTTATTTACAAGAAGAAAATTAAAAAGTATTTTATTTATTCGAGTGCTAATCATACTTTGTCACAAAATTTGATATCAGAAGCTTTGTCTGCTGACGATTCGGATAAAGAGGTTTATTACATTCAAAAATCTGTTAATGAACTCGTTTCTTGTAATCTTTAAAATAATGAGACCGATATACTTTTCAGTCGTGCTATTTAACATTGATTTAATTATTTCTTGAGCCGTCTTCCTTTAAACAAGTTGCTGTTTCAAAAATATATTATTTCAATTTCTATGCTTAAAAACAATGAACTATGAACTTAAGTAAAAGTACAACTTTAAAGCTTTTGAATTAGAATTTGAGACTAGTTTGAAATTATAATACCCTCTGCGAGGGTATTAAAAAGCGTAACCTGGTAATGATTTTTGTTTTGTATTTGCATTGATTTAATTACATTTCAAATATATATATTTTTGAAGGCTCCCTGATAAAAGTCAAGTACGGACTTATTTAAAATTATATAATTATTAAATGGTATTATTTGCCAAGTTTTTTTTAAAAGTTTTTAATAACAATTATTTTCTGTAAGAGTCTTCCCAAAAGAGTTATTTGCGGTTAAACAATAAAAAAGTCTTAAACAAATTTATTTTGATTTTTAAATATAAATTCACAATGTATATAAATACAAATAAAAAGTTAAAGGGACTATTATTAACAAAATAACTAACTGTTACTATTTTTGGTACATATACACTGTATAAAGTATACATTTTTTTTCCAACCTCATATTTTCGAATGCCACATTCGTCAATCAATGATCACAACAAAAATGAGAATAAAATGTCCACAAAGAAATCTCAATGTTAGATTCCCCTTAAAACTGCTATGGGATTGTGCATTCTTCTTGTGGTTTCAATGTTTTACTTTGAGTTTTTAATTAACGCCCTCGAATCAGCTGTATATGTAAGCCCGAAAGAGGGGGCAACGTATAACTGTAGACTGAGGGGGAAAGGCGGTAGGTATTCAGGAAGGGGTGGAGTGAGGGGTATGCGGACAAAGAGGGGAGATCCTTTGAATGCCGCGGTTGCCATGACAAGTTCTCATTTCGCCAGGCATTCCGTTGTCTGGCTAATTCAACATTTGTGCAGCATGCAAAATATTATCAAAATTCCGCCGAAAGTCGGAGGGACTCCCCCTCCCCCTCCTCCTCCCCCGCGACCGAGGAAAGCGGAAAACTAATAAACGACAACAGGTGAAGCTGGGCGCTGACACGTGGCAGTGATGCTGAAAAAGAATTTAAGGGCAATATTCGGAGAGTGGACTTTCGGCAATAACTGTGGGCCAAGCGCAGGTTGCCAACGCGACCAGCTGTGGAGTAGAGTTGATGGTTGCGGGGAAGTCGAGCCAGGAGCGGCATCGATGGCCCGCCTATCGATAGGCCGCAGGACCTGTTATCGCAGAGGGCGCCAAAATGGGCTATCGTTCTGGGGCCCACAACCCCCAAACTGCCTCATTCGTTGGCCCGAGTTGGGGGCGTGGCTTGGCCTACGCACACGAACTATACCCGACCCGCTCTAACAACCACTGCCGCGGGCAGCCAGAGCGAGCCAGCATGTCTGCCACGAAAGCAAGATGGCAGTGGACTCAGGTAGTTGTCTCTTTCACACGCCCATCTGGGTCTCATTCTTTTTTCGAGATTTTTTCAAATCAATGCAGGAGATAAGCCCGCAGGCAGATAACGCCCGACTTACCCGTCAATTGTGCGAGGGGGTGGCGATTGAACCCGGCGCCAGTGCGCAGTCGTTGTTGTCGAAGTTATCAGGGCCCGGAGTCAATTCGCTTTGATTTTTTCGCACTGCCCTCAAATGCAAGCGAGTCCGCCTAGGCAGCGCTACGTTTCCGGGGTTCTGCTCCGATCCGATCCGACTCGATTCGATTCGATCCGCTTCCGTTTGTCAGTGCTCAGAAGCCGTCGCCACCAGAGGCCGTTGCCCGAATTGATCTAAGCGCAGAATAACCAACGAATAAAAAAGTGAAAATGTGCCAGAAATCAGCCGGAAAAGGCTATTAATTAAACAGTAAAAACAAGGACGAAGGACCACGCCCGGGGAAGTGGGAGAGCGCCGTGCCCTCCGGCGGACAGTGTCCGGCTGTCAGTTGGTCAAACAGTTCATCAATAAACGATTCGACTTCCGTTTCATTGCGTGTCCTTACCTGTGCATGTATGCGTGTGTGTGAATGTGTGTGTGCGTGTGAGCTGAGGAAACTTTGCAACTTCCGGCCAAGTGACTTCGATTTAATTTCTTTGGCTTTTTTATGGTCAAGGCATTTAATTAATTTTACTATGGCAATTTGATCGTCTGCTGGTCTGCTGAACTCTGACCCCTAGCCCTGTGGCACACACAAAACAAGGAGCCAGCAAAAGGAGGAGGACCCAGGTGAGTCCTCTGCGAAATGAGCAATAAAAGTCAATGCAAATACCCACACAATCGAACGTCTGCAAAAGTTTCTGCGGTTAAGGAAAGTGAAACGGATTAAGTTTCTTAAGTCAATCGCACATTACTAGAATTGGCCGAATAGCTGGACATCTGACGAGGGTCAATGTTTAAGTTGAGGACATTTACAAGATGGAATAAATAGTAATCTTAAGAAAATTGGGGTTACAGAACAAATTAAAAATCATCATTAATGACTAAAAAGTAAGGGTAAATCACCGACGAAATACTTACACATTATATGGCTTTGGAACATAAAATAAAACACGCATTATTGACAGAAAACAAAGATTAAATCCGCCAATGTATACGAGTGTCAGGATTCGTGTTGCATATTTAATATGTTTTATAAATGCAAGCATAAAAGGATGAAAGCCTTTAGACCGAAACATTTAGTGGATGCAGACTAATTTAAACAATTTATTTGCAGTTTCAAATTATTTAACATAAATGTAAGCTTCTAGTATGGCTTGGAATTCCACATGTTATTAATGTAGTGAGGGATTTCATTAAAATCATTACTAATCATTTGTATACATATTAGTCAACCCAACCAAATTGATATTTATTCTTAATTTACTTCCAGCCACACCCATTTCCACCGAACTATTGACATGTAGTTCGCACCGAAGGTGAACTCCAACGTTCTGTGATAGACGAGTATACGAGCAGCCAATCCCCTTGGGATTCTGCCCCCAATCGGTTCTCGATTCAATCAAATTGAATCCCGAATCAGACAGCGAATCGAAGGTGATCTTAACTTTTGGAGCGGCTATCAGAAACAGCGACAAACTGTCGACTCTGTCGATACGCAACTTCTCGGCAAACATGCTGAACAATCTTGGGGCCAATGTGCTGGGTAAGTTTCGCCCCTCGATGGGGGGTGCGTATAATATTGTAATTAAGATCGGCAAGTGAATTGCGCTAATATATAATAATGTGTGTATTAATCCATCCAATCCGCCTGGCCATAATTAAACTAATTTCTTGAGCACACCCACCAGTGTATGTTCGTGTAGTTACTTCCGATCTTCCGATTGGCATCTCCAATGTCTGCTAAATGGCCTATAATTGAGACGTCTAAACAGATGGCGCCGGGTGTCGCGTGCATTTAGCAATAATTAAGTTGTATATTTAACTAACTCGACAAACCTTCTCCCAGTCCCATTCCCATTCCCATTCCCAGGCCCATTTCCATCGCGTGGGCGTGTGTGTGTTAATTGATATAATTGCTCTTTTAAATATGCCGCAAATTGTGAATTACATTCACACATCGCTCGGCGCACGCACGTAATTATCAAACTCTACTTGTGTCCGCATATTAATATATTAATAAATCCGAATATGCATATATAATATGTATGTGCATGCGAATAAATTATTTTTACCACACTGTTGATCAATGGTTCAAGCACTTTCAATTTTGGCAATCAATTTGTTGTTAGCCCGTCCGACACTACCTCCAATTACAGTTTGCTTGCAACTGCAACTGCAGCAATAAATGAGTTATGGCTCGCGTTTTTATTCAATTTTTATTGCCGGCCCGTAAGCGATTCGCCCTTGCATCCTTCGAAGCGTTGCAATTAATTACTTTTATTAATTTATTGCCATTTTTCACGCGCCAGTTGTCCCTGTTGCGTATGCGTAATGTCCTTAGTTGCGAAAAAAAAGAAATTTTATGGAGAGCAATCGAGAGGGGTTACACACCTGCAACAAATATATCAAAAGTTTTGGAACTATTGAAATTTTTCAACTGTCCAAGTCGGCTTTAAAAGTTTCACGCTTTAAGTTATGCTTTCCCATTTCGACCTCCATGAAAAACTATAAATTTCAATGATTCGCAGTGCGGAATCCTTTGCCAAAATCCTGCCTGCAGTGCTGGAGTCTGCCGTAATAAATTCCGTAAGCCTTTTTCGTAGTTCCGCACAACAAACGGAGGCCCTGCGAAAAGCCAAAACATTTGCATACTGGGTGCGTGGTCGAGAGGGGGGAAAGTGGAGAGCCCCATACAATTAAGAGCAATTTGCATGCAAAAGAAATGGGAGAACTTTCCCGTGAATCTCCCCTACTAATACTTAATTTGCATGCAGCGAAAGAAACTTGAATGGCGTTTTATTCCATTTTCGGTTGGACTTTTTTCGTGAGCCTCGCATTAATTAAATTAATTTCATGATTGCATTTGTAATTTGCGCAGAGCCCGCTTTGCCTTCCCTTCCACTTCACCCCCTCAAAACATTTCTGCGTGTGCTTCGCTTTGTGCGTTGGCATTTTTGCGGTGGCCTGCGCTAGTGAAATATGTGCTCAACCCCCCCACCCAGTGCCCCATTCGCATCCGCTTTGCATTGAAATGTTTTGCGGTTGCTGCGGATTCTGTTCCCTGTTGCGGTTAGTTGTTGGAGCAGCCTAGATTCCATCCTGGAGCCTATGTCCTGGTAGGCCGGCTGCTAAAAACCGCACAATTTCCAAATTTCAATAATTATGCACATTGCACATGCAACTGACGACTGAGGGGGTGGTGCATCTGGGTGCCCCAACAAGGCCTCTCCAGTCCAATCCTCTCGTATCCCATCCTGGATGGACCATACTGCTCCAGTCCAGGTCCATATATTTTGCGGGAGAAATCGCGTTCGCTACCGAAAACAGGCAAACTGATTTGCGCAAATTGTGCAAATTGCTTGCGCGATAAATTCATGTTTGCCAATTTTAATTAATTAATCGCTTTGTGCGGTTTTCATTTCGTTTCGCATCTCTTTCTCGCCAGACCAACTAAAATGTCCGCTTCAGGCCAGATGTAAATGTATCTGAGGGGACTATTTGTGTGTTGGTTACTTGGTTTCGTGTGGGCCAGCAGCAATGTTTACAGTTCCGTATTAACATTATCGCAGTTTTGGCCTGGTTGCAAATGGAGGGCTAACTAAATTACGATGATAGATTACAAAATTATGTCCTATTACCAGGCGTCGTAATGATTTTGGAACATGTTCAAGTTTTTAAGTAAATATTGTGGTTTACACAGAGTTTTAGGCTAGACTTGTTTGGCATTATGACAAATCTATCAATGCTTATCCGCGTAAATTCAATTGTCAGCCAAATAGGTACAAGTCAAAAGTCGTAACGGTCAAAGTTTTTATTTTACTTTTCTTGTGATCTGTCATTTAATGATTTTGAAACGGATGATATATTTTATATCATAACATTTAAAGTTTGTATAACGAAAAATAACATCAATTTGTATAAGAAATCAGACTTTATAAAGCCATTATTTTTTTCTACGTTTAAAATTTGCATATAAACGAAAACCAGAGCTTCGACTATCACGAAATAAGAACGCATTTCAGTTTAACAAGTTTACCCATTTGTGGATATTAAATCGGATTAATTATGGCTATGAAGTCATAAATAATTATTACTTTACGCTTAAATGTTTAAAAGTAGTCGGTATATTCAATTGTAACATCTAAAGATGAATAATTTTTTAAAGTGACCTTAGATACAATCGATATTCATTTGATATCAGAGAAAACTCTACATTTAAATTTCCGAAATCATTATATCTTTCGATTAGCTGATTAACAATCGTGAAATCTCAACAAAGAACTATCAACAGAAAGTAGCATTTGAATAGTACAAAAATAATGCCAAAGAGAGGCCCGCAATAAGTGAGCTTCAGTTCCAAGGGACTTCAGCCCTGAATGAAGAAACTGTCATCTTGATCTGCATACACAATGAACAGTTAGGGCTGCTTCTTTTTAATATTTATGTGTTACAACTGTAAAAGGCAAGGTGAAAAAATCAAAGTTAGGCCAACTAACTAACTAGCTGGTCGGACGAGGGTCGGGGCTCGGGTTCGGGCCATTGCCAGCAAAGTGCGATTTCGAGAAGTGGCGCTATTTTATGGCTCCCAAACGTGGCCCAAACACTCTCCGCACACACACTCTTTATTTGGGCGAGTGTGCATGTGTGTATGGCTCTGATTTGAGAAAACAGAAAACTGAAAACAGAAGGAAGCGGGAACTGTTGGATGTTAAAAGTCGCACTTCTTTGGAGCAACGGACCAACGGCGATGTACATATGTATCTCCCAGTCGCAGATACATGTTTGAGATGTTGCCATCGAGCGTGAATTTCGAGATGGAGAGGCCTGGAGTTGCGATGGAGATATCGCACCTAACACCGCGCCTTAAATTTACTAATCACGATCAGCGTTTTGGCGCAGTTCCCCGGACTTTCATGAGCATTCAACCATCGCTCTGTGCGTGCTGCGTAATGTTCCAAAAATATGTCAGTGAGACAGTCTGACTTTCATCGCTGCTACAGTTTGCCACAATTGCAGTTGCTCAGCCGTATTGGAAACCTCTTCGGGAAAAAGCTACAAGGTGTGGAGAGGGGGGTTGACTGGTCCCGATTGGGGACGTCACCATCTGAAAATCGCTAATGAACAGTAGCCGCACTGGGTGTATGTGTAAAAATTAGCACTTTCCGGGCAGCGCTTTTAAACGCGACTACCCGGCAGCAGCAACAAAGCCCGTTTCAGGGAATGTCGCTTGGAGGAACTCCATATCTTTTATTTGTTGATATTTATATTTATGGTTTTATGTGGCGTCTCTCGACTTGCACTCGTTCACCTGTTGGTCGGTGGATTTTGATATTCGAACACCGCTCCGGATTTCTGACGTCCGAGGGCCTGTGATGTATGCCGAAATTTTAACAAGTCCATCTCGAAAACAATAAAAATCATTGAGAGCCGCCGTTCCCGCACCGCCAACATCAAAGTCGGCAATCGAGAGTGTTCTCCACTACCCAAGCACTGCCGAGATGAAATTGAAATGGATTGCACCCGAGGAGGAGACTGAGGAGGAGGTTTTCCGCTAAGTCGCGATTTGCATTTCGGACTCGCTTTCAGAGGAAATTGCACAAGGCCAGTGGCCAGTGGACAGTGGACAGTGCCGCCTACACCTTCACTTTAAGCCCAATCGAATGGACATCGTGACGGCATCGCGGGTCCCCCAAAAGGTTACATCTCGGGGACGAGAGTTCGCATCAACCGGCGATGAGTAAATGTTTGACTTGTAGCAACAGTTGAGCTCGGGCAACAAAGGGAGTCGGGTAGAAAGAGTTGAGCCCGGAGTCGCTCTCGCACGTACATGTTAAAAATTCCAGGCGTACGATGAAGATGACTCTCCCGTGAATCGCAGACCCCGAACCCCGCACCCGTACCCCTTTCCACTACCAATCCCGATCCCAATCCCAATCCCATACCGCGATATACACGTACAAATACGATGGAAATAAAACGAAAATACGTTACGTAGTCAAGTGAGGCCTGAAGGTAGGAAATGAAAAGGGGTTAGCACTTGGCGGCTCTCTCGTTCTGTAGCTGTATTCGTGTACCCATCAGTATATGTATCCCAAGCTCTGGTTGTATCTGTATCTTTCAACCTCCGACTGTATCTGTGTGCCTCGCACCTCAGCCTGTTGTTGTTTGGCGCGCTCTCCTTCGCTCTCTCACGTTCGTTACTGTTTTTGGCATCTTTTTCCTTCTGAATGACAGGTTGTTGAAAAATTCAATTTATCCGATCGCCGCAGTTCGGTCCGAGCAATCCTCTAGTTCGTTAGCTCATCGGTCCACAGTTCGCGCAGCCAGCGAGAAACTTAGTTAATTAAAAGACAAACGCTTTCCGATTGAGCGGAACAAGTGAATACGGACTCGGGTTTTAATTCGTTTAGAGATTCAACAACAATTCAACAAAATATTTGCCAACTTCGTGAGCGTGTGTGCGGAGGCATTTAAGCTTCAGATTTGCCCTGTGAAAATTCGTTTGGTTTTAAAATCTTATTAAAATAAATAAAAAGGCATTTGGTAATATTTACATTTTCACTGCCTGTCAACCGAAGCTTCGGAATCACTTTGGCCGTTTCATATCCGATTGCAGCGGAAGAGTTCGGAGTTTTTGGTGTTGAACAGTTTATCCAGGCAAGTATCACAATAAAAGAGACCAACGGCCAAAGTAGCATTTTACAAAACTTCCAAATCATCCAATGTACGCCGAAGGTGATCAGGTCCATAAACCATTCCAATACCAAGAAAATCATGGTTTAATGCAAAAATTAAAATCGAATAGTTAAATATCCAGAGACCAGCTTTCTTTCGAAATATTTGTCCAGGCCAACTGAGATGGAAATATAAAGTGACCAATGTGTGTGACCAATCTAGCAGGATAAATTAATAAATTATATAAATGAAAATTGTGTCAGACAAATTAAATAAGACTGTTCAAATGGAAACGAAATCCTAATTTCGCTATTTTAGTTTTAACCAAAATATTTTAGGTTTTAATTTTATGGTCATAAAATATCATGGCTCAAAATGGGTTTGATAAATTAACCTTATAAATACCGGAAGCCGCAATTAATCCATATGGGGTAAATAAACGGATTACTATATTTTAATGAAATAAAATTCATATTTGGCTTTGATTCTATCAGCAAAAATATTATTAACAGTGATTTTTCTAAATTTTTTTTTTTTTAATGATTACTTATTAACTTAAAAAAAACAGTTTTTTTTTAAATTCAAATTGATGGGGTGGGAATTAAATTTTTGGCCTTTGATTTAAGTGGCCTTAGACATAATTCATATTTTTACTCGACATGAAATGTTCTTCTTTTATAAACAAATGTTTTAAACAATGTTATTTCAAAACAGGGTAAGAATAATAGACCCTGGCGGTGTTAATTGTTAGGCAAATCAAAAACTAGATGAATCTGTAATGATGTACGAATTTCAGTATTAGTTTTATTTTTTTTCTTGTAAGTTTGTCAGTTTTACTGCGATCGAATTAAAACTGTTGGATGCACTATAATAATTATTTAAATACAAGTTTTTCAAAAAACCCTTACCACTTATAAGATTTAAGGAAGTCGACATGAACTTATCAAGATTCTTTTAACCAATTTCAGGTCCCAAGGATTGTGACCTGCCCAAGGCCGCGTTAACAGCGCTGCACGCGGGCGTCAACAGTTTTGGCCAACTGCCCGTGGGTCCCAACTTGGCCGACCTTGGCGGCGGTGCTGGAGGTGGATCCTCTGGCGGAGTTCCGGTGGGCGGGGGCGTGGCACGCCTACACATTTCCGGCGGACTGTGCGACAACTCCAATGCGCTGAACAGCGGGAACGGAAACAGTGGCAACGGAAACGGCAACAACAACGGCAACAGCAACAACAACAACATGCAGCAACAGGATCAGGTGAGCAGGCCAGCGCTATATAGAGAGAGAGATAGGAAGAGTCCTAGTGAAGGGATTTATGAAGAGATATAGCGCCTAGTTGATACGAAACTTTTTTAATAATCCATGTTCTTTTCGATGTTTATTTATTCCTTCAAATTCTACTCTGCTATGCCAAAAATACAAAATCAAAATCAAACAATCCAATTCGATCCGTAATTCGATCCGAAACGAAAATGCCAATGAAAATCTGAAATTCCAAAAACGTGAATGTGTGTGTTCTGAATTGTGTAATGAACCTAATTAAATGTGCCATGAATCATATTCGTACCTTATGAATCATATCCGTAAACTATAAACAAAAGTAAGTGTACTTTGATTTCCATACTTAGAACCGTAGAACTCCTATCCTAGTCTAACTATAACTTCTGTAGACCGTAAACCGTAGTCCGTAATCTATAACGTAGTGCGTAGCTTGCATTCCTAGTCTGGTAGTTCGTCAGTGTTCTAAGATCCTCTCACAAAGGTCAACCCTCTCATTGTCCTTTCCCTTTGGCGTGTCTGTCTTGCAGCACCTGGACAAAAACAAGCAGAAGCGCCACCGCACCCGCTTCACACCCGCCCAGCTAAATGAGCTGGAGCGCTGCTTCTCGAAGACCCACTACCCGGACATCTTCATGCGGGAGGAGATCGCCATGCGGATCGGCCTGACCGAGTCACGTGTTCAGGTGAGCTATATCCCATATAGATAGGGAAAAAATTCAGTACTAAAACCTTTACTCGGGGAAAAAAGGATATCAATTAGACATAGAAATCAATTCATGGAGAAAGAATGGTGCAGGTCTCAAACAACAGGATTCAAACAATCCTGTATGTAAAATTTTGAACCTCAATCAAGTGGTTAACTCAAAACAAACTTTGAGGCATTGGCTACATACAATTTTAAGTTCAGGGGAAAGAAGCTGAATACAGTGAAATTAGTATAGATAGTACAGTAATAGATTTTAAGATTTCATTTAAATAATATGGATTTCACTGTAAGGACAGGAAAAAGCGAAACTATTTTCTGATTAAGTTTTAGCAACTTCATTAGGATATATGCAATCTATTATATATGAATTCTTATGAATTTTCTAAGTCATTTTAAATAATATTCACATTTTTAAAGCGGACATAGTTACATATTCAACTTGAACTTATATTTTACTTCTGTGAAGCTAATAAGGTGCAAAAATTTACTAAAATCTAACTTTTATCATTAGTTGAGATACTTGAAAAAATGTCTTTGTTCGCCCTGAGTAATTTTCTCAGATCTAGTTAATTATTTTTTCTTACTCTGTATGCTAACTTTGCGTGGTTTGTCCTGCGGCTTGACAGTTTTCGGTGGTCGGAGCTGTCGGAATTTCGGGCTCAGTTCGTTTTAGGAGCGACATGACATTTCACTTGTGTTGCACACAACCGCAACGGACGTTTGAATTTTGGTTTTTGGGCTGCAGTGGAAAAGTTGGGAGTATCTCTCGTTGCCAGCTTGCAACAGTTTACGAGGCTCTGGGCGGAAAGTCGCCGCCGAACGCCATTTAAGCGCCCAAAATTATACTTTATTAAAGCACATAAAGTCACATTTAGTCGGGCATTCAGCCACACCCACACATCCACACTCTCTTCCTTTTTCCCTGCAAACTTTGTGCCACACACATACACACACAATGGGCATTATCCTTTTGTGGCTGGCACAGCTCCCCTGTGCTGCTGCCATTATCCTTGTCTCTCTTTCGTCGCCCCATCTCCATCTCCGTCTCCACCTCCAATCCCCATCCCCTTGGAGGTCCTTTTTGCATGCGGGCGGGCTTTGTTTATGCGACAATCGAATTTACTGCTTCATTAAATTTGTGTTTAAGCTTCCGCTTCCGCTTTCACTGCTTGCTTTTGCTCTTTTCCCGAGATTTCTGCTCCAAATGTTTTGCTGTGCAGTGCGAGAATTGCTTTGCGGTGGAAATGAGTGCCGAAAACTTTGTCTTATTGGCCCCATCCTTCTGGAGGCCATTGGCTCTGGCTAAAACAATTAGCCATGAGTGAGCAACTCAGGCGGCGACACCTTCATGATGATCCAGCCGACTTTCTGCCCTCCGCCGGATGTGTCCTACTTTGATAAATTGTTTTAATAATTGCGTATCAGTGTAGCCCGTTAATGCTTTTTTCCAACCACTGAACCACTGCCCCCGCCCCCAGTTCCCGGATCCAGATCCGGCTGTCCAAAAGGACAATGCAATCACCTGCCAGGGGGTAAAGTCTGCAGGCGGGGGGTGAGTCTGAAGCTGAAGGCTGTTAGAACTGCCGACGGCTTTTATCCAGGTTTTTTTTTCCCAACGTTGTTGTAGTCCTGCTGTTTTAATGCTTGATTTTGCGTTGTCGTTGCGGCTTAGAGGATGTCAGGCCGTTGGATTAGTTTTGGGATTGCTGTTTAATAAAATTAGCATATAAATTAAGTTCGCAGTCGAAGGCGAAATAAAACATTTAGAGCTTCGAAAATTTCACACTTTCACGAATATACCGATATGGATATGTGAATGTGTGGATATGTGTGTGTTCGCCGAGGTCGGACCTTCATTCGATATGCACACACACGTCTGGCCCTAAATCAATCTACAAGGATTTGCAGCTAATGACGGCATAAAGACAGCCGTTCCGACCCCTCGCAGATAAATGCCCGACAATCGCTTGTCCGTATTAGCCCCGAAAATCAAGTCAAAGTTCTCCATAAGCCAAGAAATATGGGAGGGGTGAGCAGGTGCATAAGTTATGAGGCTCACGTAGTCCTGACTGGCTGAGCGGCCACTCTCACGTGTGTGCCAAAAAGGAGCAGCATTTATGGTGAATATAATTTAATAAAAATAAAAGTCACAGTAAAGGAGTTTCCCCCGCTTGGGTAGAGGCTCTTTTCTAATCGGATTTCGCCAGTTTTGGGTAAATTAGAATGGCCGAGACCAGCAGGGGGCACCCCGGCAATTGTTAATTTGTGTTTTCACACCGCCCAAACCAGTGGGCGGCATTCGTGCAATTTGCCCGGGACAATCTGTTTGTCACACGTGACATCTGCGCGGGGGGCAGATTCCTCGCCCTTCGGGGTTGGCCCAGAAGATGGCCCACCAAATTGACTTATCATGATCTGACATTGTCAAAAGCACTGTGTCGGCTTTGTCTGGAGCGCTGCAACATTTATTGGTTTGTTTATTAAATTGTTGTAAATTGTTGCACCGGGGCGGGGTCAAAGGGGAAGGTCGAGCGGCGGCCCAGCACGTGTCTGTGTGCGTGGGTGTGTGCCAGTGCACTAAATGAATTTCTCACATGATTAATTTGCCTGGCAACCTGGGCTAAGGTAGGCCGTTGAAGTCCTGGCAGGAGTCAGCAACTAATCATTTGCTTGGCAACCGCTTAATAACGAGATATTATCTAAAGTATTAATGTTTGTTTATTAAAAACAATCCATAATTAATGTACCTTTTGACACAAATTTTTTACTTTTAATTTGACACTAATGCATCTTTTTGTCGAAACTTGTATCTTTTGATCAACTACCTGAAGTTTATTGCTATAAATAATGGGAATCGCCAAATGTAGATTTTTGCTTAAAATTTATTTAAATATGTTATGATTAAATTAGTTAATTGAGTACATTTTATTTTAGGTAGTTTCATTAACTACGCTTAGATTATTAGTTTAGTTGATTGCTTAGATTAAAATTCCGATAAATTAAGTGAAGTGCTTGATCTGCGGATGATAATATGTTGTAAGCATTCTCTGGTTTGGCTTTAGCAGCCAAAGTAATACACTTTTGACATAATCTTTTAAACTTAATTTATTCAAATTATCTGGAAAACAATAACTTAAGGCCAACTTCACAGTACACACTCGAGTATTGTTTGAAGAATGTTGACAATACATAATTTCAAATGTATTCTTTGGATTTAAGTAAGATTTAAAAACAAAACATCTTGAGTTAGGAAAAACTTTAATTTACTTCTTTAGTTAAACAGCTTGTGCATTTTTTAAACTCTTACCTTAAATAATGTTAAAAATACTGAAATGTATCAAAACGCTGATTTGAGACCGGCAATTTTTCAAGTTCTGGTAAACAATCTAAACGGCTCGTGATTCGGCAAGAATAGGGAATATCGATTGGCCTAAGCCACAGGCGAATTCAAAGGGAGTCCATTCCCATCCAAAAGGAACTCATCGGCCTTCCCACTGTGAGCGCTGATAAATTATTGCCTCGACTTCAGACAGAACTAATTTATTTGCTGAGCCGCTTAATGCCCCCCTAATAATAGTCCCCCGACTGCTGAAGATGGTACAGATGGAGTAGACGAAGGCGGGATATCAGCCGGACCTATGTGACGCCCAGCCAATATGCGAATATTTCGCGAAAATTAGTCGAAATATTCTCATAAAAAGTGAGCATCTTTATTAAAAGCCCTGAAGGGGAGAGGGGGTCAAGGAGCCGGGGACATTGTAACGAGTATTTTCCAGCGAAGCACTCGAAGTCGGGCCAAAGGCGACTGGGTCGCGTCTGATATAACCATGGCATCGCAAATTTTAATTAAACTTTAATTGAAATACCAAAAACGAAAATATGCAGCCAACAGAAAAAAAGAGAAAGGTGGGACCAATGAGGGAGCTAAGCGAAATAAGTGGGCGGGCTAAATTTAGCGAAAGCTTTAAAAACCAGTCTCGACCAGGGAACTGAACCTGCAGGCGGGTTCTCCATAAAATGCACATAAAGAGCATCAAGGAAATCTGGCACGCATTCTGTTTATGGCATATGAAGCAATTCCAAAAGCAATTTCGTTGATACTTTTCATTGAAATGTTTGTGTGAAAATGGCGTGCCAAAGTGCCGGACCGACTTTGCACGCAGGGGAAGGGAGCGGGCTCTATCTGGGGATAAGCTGGTCCAAATGCTGCTGCCATTGATAGAATGACAAGAGTCCCCACGACCCAAAAAAAAAGAAAAAGGCTGAAAAACTTTGTCAAGAAGGAACATTGCGAATCAGAGGGGAGCATCGTGGAGCTGCGCATGCTCCACGAATGCAGCGGAATATTTTCGGGGGTTGCATTGGCCACCATCCCCCGAACCCCAATATCCTGAACCCCGAAAAAGAGGCTGCAGTTGCCCCGGCAACCCACTGAAAATGAAAAGGCAAAATGAAAAGCACGAGTGACAAAAATCTTGAAAAACATCTAAAACTATTTCATAAATCAGGCAAGTCGGAACTCGGCCGGTGCCACCCCCAGTGGCCCAAAGAATCGCTTTGATGATGTCTATCAAAGGACACATTTCCCCGAAAGAGACGGCTAGAGTGGGCTGCCGGAGTGCGGGAGAGAGACGGCCATAGTGGACTCAATCCCGGCGGGTTGGAGCCCCAATCTCTGGGGGAGGGTGGCTTTCTGGGGTCGCGGCAAGTGTTGTTGGGGCTGACTCGTAAAGCAGGATTTAAAGGATAACATAAAATAAATCGACTGGCATTTGTGTGTGTATGTGCGGGGGGAAGGAGCGGGGGAAGGAGGGACAGAAGTCGAGACGGCATTTTATGAATTTATACGCATTTTTTATATGCTCAGGAATGAAAAGATATTGGCCGAAAAGCGATTTCCATAAACCACTCAGGGCCGGAGTCGTAGTCGTAGTCGCAGGATATGAAAGCGGAGATAGGACCAATAATGATAATAAA